AGATTTTGATTAATTTTATCTCCTCTCTCTCACATATATACAAAGTTTCTCTCTCCACATTTAGAAAATGCATAACGTTGCACATCCAACGACCGTATATTAGTATTTTCTTCAGANAAAAAAAAAAAAAACATTCAGAAAATACGTAACGTTGCACGTTCAACGACCGTATATTAGTGTTTTCTTCTGATCTATGCATTTATTTTATCGCCTACCCGCGTTGGGCTCGGTGAGTAGGGCATGACTTTTAAGCAACTTTAGTCGCCTGTTGCCCAAACCGTGTCCGTACCTCGGATGAGGAATTATCTAGACATGCTGAAGTTTGTGCGGGGCGCCTGTGCCACCCTGACCCACGAGACACTGAATCAGCAGCTGTCACGAGCACCGGATTTTTCGTTCAGTGGAATATCTTGAATCCACCTAGATGTCGCCACCAAATCGTATCCTCGGCATACCTGGCTAGGTCGGGAAATACGGTCATCCGGCACTCAGATGCTGTATCGCATCAAGCGTATAGAGCAGCTTATAGATCTTCTTGTTGGATTTCCCTTATCAGTCCCCAAACGAGGGAACGTATATCGAGGGAACACCCTTAGATACGCAAGTGAGGCCCGATGTAATTGACAAAGATACGGCGCTTTCTGCCTGTGAGCGTCTGACTTCGAGGACAATAAAGAACATCAAGACTGTCAAGTTATTTAGTAACGTAGAACAATTGATGTAGCTTTGCCTATTTCTGCTGTGAAGCAGTGATGCGTTTCGGTTTGAAGGGTGGGGGAGCCGTTGTAACCATACTGAGATCTTAGAACTTATATCTCAAGGTGGGTGGCACATTTAAGTTGTAGATGTCTATGGGCTCCAGTAACCATTTAATACCAGGTGGGCTGTGAGCTCGGCCACCTATCTAAGCAATAAAAAAAAGAAAAAAAAACATGTGGCACTCGGGAACTGCCGCGGTAAAGCTATTGCATAGCATTTTTTATCAACTTATGCAATTATAATTAGACAATGATAATTTAATATTAAAACAATAATAAAACAAGACCACGCCATATTAAACATTAATAAAAGCAAAACCTTAACTGTCCCCTTCACACTCATAAGCTCGACCGCGCGAGAGAGAGATGGGCAGACTTTTCATGATGCGCATGCAGTGTGACGTCACGCTACACGCTTATTCACAAGCACTACATAAGCGCATCGTGTGAATTTGTTGAACGCGAGCTACATGGTAGGCGGAGTGAGGGGTGTAAGGTTTTTTTCGTTACGAAATTTCATGATTTGGTCGCCGCGCTCAAGGCCCGCGATAAAAGCTATGCAATAGCTTGAAAGCTTTTCCGTATGCAGTCTATTCAAAGCAATCATGTTAGAATTTTTTTGGGTGGTTTTAGTATTTATTTCAACTTAACCTAGAACTCCCGATTCGTGCTCAATTCAAGGAAGTGTTTTTATTTTTAGGCAAAATATTTGTTTCTCTAGACAGGCTGTCGAGGTCGTGATTCACGTGGAGCTTTGTGATTACAGGCGACCACAGACCATAACCCTGCCCATTTTGAGACGTAATGTAATTAGCGGGTGGCAATGTATCTATTAAAACCAGAGTGAACGACTGTTTCTGCGACTGGCATCTTGCTGCCTGTGAATATTATCTTACCAATACTATAAAACAAAAATAATGCAAGTAAAATTATGAGTAAATCGTAACTATCTGTATTAGTAATCGCCTTCTGGCTATGCTATCGCATTCTCCACGAACATGTCAGATGACTTGCTCGCCCACGCGTTGCCACGTGCATGCGATGCACCGAGCCTTGACAGTTGTCTCCTCTGCCTACGTACCATAATTGATATTTATAACTGCATAAATATAACAGCTACGGACTTAAAACACGGACTAACGAAACAAATAAAATTTTTCGATCCACAAAAAAAAAGTTATTTATTTTATTGTGTGCTTACAAAACGTATTTATTCTAACTAATATTATCAAACAATAAGTAATCTTTGATTATTTACAATAACCGCTTAATTCGGATACTAGTGACAGGCTTTTTCGCATTAAACGTGTACAATTTCCAAAAATATTCGAAATTGAGTTAATATGCGGAATTATTTGGTATCACCAGTTCTCATAAATACTGTCAAAAGAGCGTAGTTTTTTTTTTTTTAGTTTACCTATGTTTTGACTACTATTAACAAATTTAATACACAATTTTACCTTACTTTAAAAGACAGATAATATGACTGATAAAAAAAAAGGTTTTAAAGATAATTAATTTTAAAAATATCACATGTTAAACCTTTAAAACACTCTCCTGTAATATAAGTAAGTTTTGAGATTATACAGTTTTAATGCGAGAAGACTAATATGAGCGATATTAAAGATCAGCTTTCCTGAAACACAGAAGGACCAAGGAAGAAGAAAAGGACCATTTCGATTGTATTAGGTGGAAACTTGGTGAAAAAATACCAAATAAAGGTTGACGCTAACGGTTCACAATTGTATCGTATAACGGTTCTTCTACTAATAAAACAGGAGTGTAGGATTGCAGAAATAGGTCGATTGGTGCCACCCACACTTGCGAGCTCACATTATATCGTATCGCCAGTAATTGCGTAAATTTATAATTTTTACATAATATACAATTTATACATATATATCGACGCTTGAACGGCAAACGTGACTAAGCGACAATAACTGATCTGTACATAAATGATATGCAATAGCCATATTCGATGCGCAAAAAAAATATAGTTCTAGGTCTATTAAAATCATTTCAATCCTACAGCTAAATTCGTTAAATTAGATTTTTTTTCCGGTATTTCATTCAACTTTAAATTAGTCTACTGTAAAGTTCACGCATTGTCGCTTAGTCACGCTTGCCTTTCAAGCGTCGATATGTATTTTTATTTATTGCTTAGATGGGTGGACAAGCTCACAGCCCACCTGGTGCTAAGTGGTTACCGGAGTCCATAAATGCGCCTCCCACCTTGAGATGTAAGTTCTAAGGTCTCAGTATAGTTACAACGGCTGCCCCACCTTTCAAACCGAAACGCATTACTGCTTCACGGCAAAAATAGACAGGGTGGTGCGGATTCACAAGAGGTCCTACCAGTAAAAATATATATATTGAAGCCATCACAAGATTAAGGATTTAAGAGGAAAAATTTCGCTTAATGCCATTCGGTGTAGATTGAGAGATTGTAGATGTCTATGGGCTCCAGTAAGCACTTAACACCAGGTGGGCTGTGAGCTCGTCGACCCATCTAAGCAATAAAAAAAATAATTACAATATTTCTAAATAAAGAGAATCATACGTGTAATATTTCAATGTACGCTTCAAGTTGGTGATACACTCATATCAGATTATTATTGTTCTCCAGTAACAATGTAAGCTAACTCAGAGCTCAGTCAGTTTTATAAGTCCGTGAGTAAAAGCTTCTTAGTTACGACGATGCAACAAGGCTTGTATGCAAAAAGTCTTTTAAATGTAGAGCATATAAATTCGATGTTGTCGGGGACGAGTTTTTATATGGGCTAGTTATAATTTGCACGAAAAACGAAGACATTACAGATATAGATATATACTTATTACCATAGACTTTATAACCTAAAATCCAACAATGTTGATTACACATATTTTAACCTTAAATTTACGTGATACACCAGAAACATTAAAATGACTTACAGATGAATTGGATTTGGATACATAATAATAATCTCTTCACTTTTCTCAGTCTTCACACAATCGAGCACATCTACCTTCAAGCTTACAAAGATGAATGGAAGAATAAAAAAACCGTATTAACATCACGTAAATCATGATAGACATTTTAAACACCTATTAACAAGCAGCTTACCATAATCATTTAAAAAAAACGGCACTGTTTAATAATTATATTCCATGATACTTTTTATGTCTTCTACTTTAAAGAAAATGAAAAATAGCAATCAAAACTTGCGTATAATTATACGAACATTATATAGTTGACTCAAAAAAAAAAGCCAACGTCCTTTTTAAGTAATAGATTTTTCTTCTAGTGTCTGTTAATTTAATGAATGTATATTATGAATTTACTTATGAAATAAAACATTATTATGAAGAGAAAAAAAATATTACTGAATAATATTTTAAATATTACCATTATTAATTGAAGCATTCGAGAACTAATGAATAAAACCGATGAAGTCTTATCTATGAATGCGTTTTCATCAGACTTCTTCGGCAAGTACCTATTTTCTTTGGTAAATACTTGCATGTCCGGGACTACGGTTCTTCCTGTGCTTTGTACCATATGTTCCTTGGAGCGTGTTCCGTGAAATTACTCCAGATAAGTCCTCAGCGACAGGTAGTTTGGTTTTTTCCCGGGCATTGCTGACTTCCATGAGTGAGTATATCCACTTACTCATAGTTTAGAAGTAACAAAAACCGGTGTAGAAGTAACAAAAAAAGTCTCCCAAAAATAAATTGAACTCAGTAAAACATTTCGACTCGAACCTTTACTTTAATATTTCAATAACATGAGCACGTTTCTATTTACATGCAAACAAACAGCAGTTCGCATTCATATAAAGTTGTTTAATAAGCAGGTAGCTGAAGCTTGACTTTACACAGTACTCAGGGCTCGTTGCTAAACATAACATCTAGTTTTCCTTATTATTTTTACCGCATATAATTTTCATGTTAGTCGCTATTTATGAATAGTAGTTTTATTTTCAACATTTGGTTCAACTTATTACATATGAAGCAGTTATAACGGCGCTTAGTAATTTGAAAGCTGAAATTTAAATGCTAATAAGGAGATGGGCATGATAACTTTAATATATTATTATCAAGTTTTTGCTTATTGAGCTTTTAAAACGCAGGAGGTTTGTGTACTGCTTAAATATTTATAGTAGACGGCTTACAGATGCCGTAGTGAGCTTAAGGATTTGCATACAACAGGTTGCACGTTGCAGTGGGTTCTACAAAGCCTCCAGTCGTGAGTAGCGAGGCAGGCTGCGCGCGCGCATCTGTACCTCTTGGCGATTATCCCGATGCTATCTCATAAGCCCACCGATCTATTTTACGTTCTCGTGCGAAAAAAAAACTTAGGTGTATTCATTCAATTATGTACATCGTTTTTGAAAGACCGCGCAAACGAATGCCAGTGAAATAATAAAAATGAAACGGCAAATTTATATTTTTGTGTTAGTGTTAATTTTTGCGACATGCACGGATCTCACGAAAAGAGATAAGTTCAGAAAGCGAAACACTATTATAAAAGCGAACGGAAATTTCACGCCGAGGTGCCCTTACGACAATACCGTTTTGAGACACAATAATGATACGTTGCGACAGTTGGTCGTCTCATCTAAGTACATTTTCACAGGGAAAATCTCAAGTGTGCAAAAACGGAAACGGGGTAAAGTAAAAGGCAGTGTTTTTAAAGTTTATATCAGGAGAGTTTTGAAAGGCGACGTGGATTTTTTGAGCGATATTTTAAATTTTGAAACGAGAACGTTTAATTCTTCGAACAGAGCGTATATATTGGCCGAAAGTAGGTCATTGAAGCCACGATGCGCCGGCGTCGTCCGAAGAGGAGCAGCATTGTTCTTCAGTAGAGAATTCTCTTATCCACTGAAGTTACTCGTGGATCCAGTTCCGTCTAATATTGACACTGTAAGGAAGATAAAGTCAATTATCAAAGGTAATTTTAAGAATGCACGAATTACTTTATATTTCCTTTTTTAATCTTGGTACTTTGGAAGTCACCAAAACTATAACAAGAGCCAAAAAAGAATATTTTTTTTACACCGGGTTTTATTTTTTATAGAAAATACCCACCCTTTTGAGTAATGAGATTACCCAGTAAGTTAGCAGTACTCTGTGCTTCTTGTTCTCGTGTGGTCACAGAGATTTTTTTTACAATAAAATCATTTTTTCTTACACTATTTTTACATTCAAATTTATTTTCTATTTTTTAGTTGGTTTTCTATAAAAGCATTTTTTTTTAGGTTTTTTTAAACTATTATTTATTTTTCATTTTTTAGTTGAATTTTAATTTTGTCCATTTTTTTATTCCATTTTTCAAAAATGTCATCTGAATCAGTCGTTAACTTATTCGAGAAATAGGTGATCGGCGCGCCTGGTAGTTTCGCCTTCTTGGTCTTGACGCAGACACTCCGGGTCTCAGAAAAAAAAAGATATCTAATCCTGATTATCCTAGTAAAGATAATGGATCAAACTGTTTAAAATATTGAATTGTCATCGGTCCTTAATAAGTGTGCCAAATTTCGAGTTAATCCGACGTTTTGAAGGGGGTCAAAATCATGATCAAAAATTCCGTTACATACTAACATACTTTTTCTTTTTCACCACCTTATCCCACTAGGTGGGGTCGGCACAGCTAATTTTTCTCTTCCATTCTCTTCTATCAGCCGTCATCTCAACTAACACACGAATGAAGCTAATAAAAGTGTATTAAAAACGAAGAACATTATACATAATTCTATCAAATATGAATTATGCAAAGTATATAAATTAAGCTTAATCAAAATTCAAGACAAATGCTTTGCTGAATCAGAACGTTTTAATAGTTAGTAAAAATGTTTAAAGAATACTTTGATTACATACGATCATTAATTATTAATGAAAGTAGTTCAGTTTTCTGCGAACGGAGAATTTTTATTTAATGGCTCATTTTTTAATCAAATTAAAAACTGTTCAAAAGGATACGTTTCAGTTAATATACAGAGAGTATACTCTTTATTAAAAACTGCCATCAATGTTCCGCTTTGCCATTCAAATTGTGGATAAGAGTTTGTGGCAAGTGTTAAGATCAAGCATCTCATCTTGATCTTCATCAAAAAAATGCACTCACATCTTTAATCGTAATTAAGCAATTTGAATTCAATACAAGTATTAACTTCAGTTGTATTTTATACTTATACCTTACTTATTGTTTTTAATAAATACATCAGTCAATAACTCATTTGAGTAATTGACTACAAGAAGAGAGCGAACGTAAATTTAAATATAAATTCCGCTTCAATAATTAAGTTCTTTTTTTTATGGCTTAGGTGGGTGGACGAGCTCACAGCCCACCTGGTGTTAAGGGGTTACTGGAGCCCATAGACATCTACAGCGTAAATGCGCCACCCACCTTGAGACATAAGTTCTAAGGTCTCAGGTATAGTTACAACGGCTGCCCCACCCTTCAAACCGAAACGCATTACTGCTTCACGGCAGAAATAGGCAGGGAGGTGGTACCTACCCGCGCGGACTCTCAAGAGGTCCTACCACCAGTAAAAAGTTCAAGTTCAAATTACTGGTAGCGATTCAAGGTGCAAATTGTGAAATAAATTGGAAAACGTAAGAATGAAACGGTAAAAATATTTTTAATTATACACAGTACAAGTCTTAGGACCTGTTACGAGACATTATTAATTTTACTTCCTATAACTTTCGATTGCAGGCGAAATATTATATCACCTAGTGGTAAATAATTGCTCATGGACCTTAGTAATTCAAGGGGCACAGTCAAGTTGTATTCCAATGAGAACGAATATTTTAAACCTTATTTGAAAAAGCATCCATACCCAGAAAACAGTAGAGGACAGCTATTAAATCTTAGACCATACTGAGACCTTAGAACTGATATCTCAAGATGGATGGCGCATTTACGTCGTAGATGTCTATGGGCAACAGTAAACACTTAACACCAGGTGGGCTGTGAGCTCGTCGTCCATCTAAGCAATAAAAAAAAATTAAACTAGTAAAATGCACACATTACAAATGATTATGATTTTGTGAAAAAAGTTACGTAATTTTTTTTTTCTGTCATAATGATATGGAGTTATAACAATATTATTGTTCCTTTATATTAAGCGAGTCTATATGATTCCGTCGTGTAGGTAAGAGTTGTAATAAAGGAAAACATAGCCATCTGAAAAATACAATTTACATAATACAATGTGTTAAGAGAGTTAGCGTGCCGCCGCGTAGGTACGTGCCGTATTCAGTATTTTTATGTAAACATTCACGGTAAGTGCTTTCCATAGTCTCATAAGCACAAACATGTGTAGGTAGATTTGGTAGTATGTGCATATTTAATGTCGTTCCTAGGTGACGTACCGCCGCTTTATCTTAAGATGATAATCGGGTGTGAATTGCTGGACCCAAAGGTGGACTGCTGTTGTAAAGTCGTAGAGCTACTAAGTTCCGGATACGGTATACGAATGAACAGAGTAAATACGTAGATTTTACACGAACATGCAAAATCAATTGGGTCCTGAGTTTTTTTTATTAGATAAAATTTACAGCCCACTTGATCTTCAGTGGATCGAAGCCTATAGACACCACAGACTGAATGGCATTGCCGATGTTGAATTTTTAATTGTTTTGAAGCAACAGGTGTGCTGCCCTTCACGGGAACACAATATCTTTGCCATGGTAACAGCTCCTTGTTTTGGTGGCCATACAAAGTAGCAGCAGATAGACATCGTAAGAAAATTGATAATTATTCTTCTACTATCGAGTATAATCACCAAGTAGTAGTTCAAAATTGTTAAGATGTCATACTGTAGTTTCAGATGTAGCTTTTAGCTGGACAGACTAATGTTACCATGATTCTTTAATATCTATGTATTTTGATTTATTATAATTGAATTGAGTAACTTTATCAAAGTAATAGTAGAAATCATAGTATTTGAATTTTTTAAAAAAGTAGATAATAGCGCTATGCGTTTTAATTGAAAGGGCACATCCTATTTGTGTTTTATTCTTCAGAGTTCTATGTTAAACTAAATTATGAACACAAAGTTCCACTCCTTGGTCTAAAATGTATTCGTAGAAACGGACTGTGGGCGTAGGTCTGTCGTGTCTACCGTGAGAAAACAGAATCAAAAATTGTACAATTGTGCTTTTAAGTGGACGTGGAAAACGAGTATCTTATTATTCGATCAATCTCGGGATATCCTTCGCTTTTGTTTTAAGGCCGCTCCGGTGTCATTAAGCTCTAATTGAGGAGATGCCCGTCTGTCTTATTCACGCCTCATGAGGGTGCCGGTCTACACTAATTGGAGGCTAATAAAAAGAATGTGCTATACGGTTGTGTTGTATAATTGTTAGTCGAATGATATGGTAGGCGTAATAAAACCAATCCTTTTGTTTCTTAAGATTATTTTGTTAGTTTAACGTTTTTTTGTAAAATAAGTTAAGATCACAGAAGAAATAGATGATTCCGAGGGCGTCTATTCTAAAGTTAAATCCATCGGAATATATTAAAATGTTAAAATAAAAACAAGAGCTGTTATAGATAAAAACATTTCTGCCCCGGAACAAGTGACCTACCGAGATGTCACATCGCTACAGGACTATCAAGTTTATCGAGACCACCGACGACGCCGAAGGATCGCGCCCTAGCCTCCGACAAATTTATTGACACTCTTTCAATTAAATCTATTGTTGCCGCGAACAAACACAGCGGTCATAACAAAATAAAACACGATAACTCGCCGCGTGTATCCGTAATGCGTTCCCATATCAACCGCCGCCCGCTCCGGTCGCCGTAAAAGGAGATTTATTAAAACTATTTGGAAACTGATTCGATCGAAACCGAACGATTTGACATTTAGATAAAGAATAAAATTTATTTTTCCCTCGGACGCGCCGCTCCGGCGGAGTGACAATGGAATAAAAAGGTTATAAAAATGCGACGGTTGCGGACGGTCGCCCACGTCCCGCGAGTGTAGTCGGCTGTTCACACACGGCCGGTGCGGCATATCTGGCGCGGTATGAGGCCGGCTGCCATGCTGGCAGATAAAACGCGACGACTGCGTTATTATAGGCCACCGCTACTCGTAAGCACGTGTAAATTTCTATGTGAGAACGTAGCAGATAAGCCATGAAGCGTGGGCGTAGAGAAAACTCATGGCGCCGAGAGAGGCCGCGGGCGCCGCACCACCGCGCCATTGCAAACTTAACGCTTTTTGTGAAAACCAGTTATGCAACCATAGATTGTAGTAGGTTTAGTTTAATAAATTAATTGGATTTATCATGTGAATACTATTTCAACTAAATCTCGTGTTACCATTATTACCTTAAATTATGGTAGACTTCATTTCACGAGTTGCATATTATATTGGTTCAAAGTTTGAATTTTTTGTGCAATTTACGTACGGATATCATTTGCTTTATACGTTTGTATAAAATTTTATGTGTAATGAATTAAATACGCATTTATTATTTATCAATAATTATTTATGTTAAAATACTTTTTTGTTAAGTCCAATAGATATAAATCGGAAAGTAATTGATCAATGAAGGGGAATCAGAAAGAGGTTTTCTACATGAAATCTTTTGTAATCTCAATAATAACCCAAATGAACAAACGAATAAAAAATATACGAAATCGAAGATACGAAATCGTAGTTCTGCAAAGATTCTCAAACATTAGAAAATAATAAATCTACCGGCGCTAGATTACAGATTATTGTGGGGTTCTCAGAGATCTTCTTAAATCCACGTTCGGAAATAAACGTAGGCTAATATCTGTCGTAAACGCCCACATTGACCGAAATCCGGCATCCATTGTTATATTTTACAATAATTGATTAGTTGAGGTCATTAGACAAGGAAAAAACCTATTAGTATTTTATTGAAGGCCTAATTTTATTAGTTGTTAGAAAACACGGCGTCTTTGAACTC